TTTAATTTTTCTGTTTTCAAAAACAAAAAAAACAGTATTTAAAAATAGAAAATAAACAGGCTCTAAGTTGCCATTGAGCCAAGAACTAGAGTTAAGTCGGGACCGAAACATTTTTAAAAAAATCAGACAAGTCTAAATATAATATAAAAAAGCTTAAAAATTTTTAAAAATAAGAAAAATTTTAAAATTAGACTATACTAAGAACCAATTTCATTTTTTGAACCCTTGACATGCATATAATATGATGTGAGGCTATTTTTCTAGATGTTGACCGCTATAAATCCAATGTAAATACATTTGAATCTTCGTTTATTTGATTCAACCAATATCTACTTACATTTGACAAATATATAAAAATAGAATTTATAAATGGTTTATTTATATAGTAATGTTATATTATTTATTATAAACAAGACATACTGTGAATTTACTCCATAAATATATTAATATATGTATTAATGTCATTTTTACTTAATTATCATGTCTCCAAATTGACCGTTGGTCTAACATGTTAGATCACAAAAATTGAGACCTGCTGACCCTTTTGATTTAACATCTGGTCCAACTTTAATTTTAAAATATTGATTGTATTGATCCGTTTAAGAAACCATAAAACGCTGAGAAGGTAGGTCTATCGAGGGAATTATACATTCTCATCTTTGGTGCATGATTTTCAAAGTGCGTTAGATTATTCATTTTGATTTAATGATCAACCACCACCTTAAATAAGGTGGTGAATAATGAGAGAAAGTCTTTTTTTTAATCCTTTTTTATTTTAATTCACTTTTCATTCAAAAATATCTAAAAATATTACTTCTTTAATCCTATTTTTATTCTAAAGTCACTTTCAAAATTTTTATCAGAATTAAAGAAATATTAAATCTCATTAATTTTATCTAAAAATTTAATAAGTCTCTAACTTTTCTCCTATTAAATATAACTACTTTAAAATGAAATACTCTAACATTTAATAAACTTCTCTTCATTTAATAGGAACAAAATGATAATGATAAACATAATAAAAGTGCTTTATAAATATAAAACTAAAATAGACACTCTTTCTCTACCCTATAAATAGGATTAGAAGAGTATACATAAGTAGATTATAGTAATATATTTGATTTAATGGTATAGCTAGCAGTTAATTTTCCACCATTAAATCAAATGATAATCACTAAATGAAGGGAGGAAATTTATGAAATGAGGCATCAACCTATAAAATATAAAAAAAAAAAACGAAGAAAAGGATCAACTTCCGTGTATGAAGTCAATTAAATAAGACAATTTTCATAAAGAATGTTTTGTATTGACATGAATCAATCGGCTGGCCTAAAGAAAAAAGTTACATGTCACGTCACATGATATATATAGTACTAAAAATGTGAATTATCCGTGTAGTTTGGAATATTAATCTAATTTTAGTTTTATAATTGTCATTAATTATCTCACCACCATGTCTTCAACTCCAAATCTTAAACCACTTCATCTCACTAATTAATGCACTAAATAACATGACAAGAAAGCAACGCTATCAAAGAAATTAAAAGAGCCGGTAGATGCCAGTGCCTAGTTATCTCTAGGATTTGAACCACACACATTGGTGCGTGTTACATGAAAAAAAGTTTAAAAAGAAAATTTATCTTAAAAAACTAGCTTGTTAGATAAAAAAGTCCATCTCGTCTGAAAGCCAAAACATTACCAGCAGTCCAACTCCACCACATTTCACTCATCAGCCTCATGCCGGTCAATAAGTTAGTTTTTTCTCAGGCTCTCCTTTATACTTGCCCATAGTAGCAGTGTGTATGAGTTGTAAAAATATGAAATTGATTCCTTATAAGAAAAAAAATGAACACGGATACATACAATCTTTTTATTTGTGCGCAGAATGAAAACGTACAGACTGGACTCGATTACATTGGCACTCATAATATACGAGAAAATTATCTGAATCTGATTTGTCCAATCACATGACGACGCAAATACTATTGTCAACAACAGGGTATTCACAAACAACGTAGGGGGGCCAAGGAGGACAAGGAGGCCTGTAATCACAGCAAGGCAATTTCTCAAGCTTCTTTTCTTTCTTCTCTTCTTTCTTTTCTTCTTTCTTCTCTTCTTTCTTCTCTTTCACTTCTTCCACACTCACAATGTTGGCATGGCAGAACTTCTTCCTGAAATCCTTAGCCAAACTCACCGTATCCACATCTTCTCCAATCACCACCACTCGATCCCTATCTGCTCCTTCTAGCGCCACCGAATTCACCCGACCTGCATACACGTTCACATACAAGTTATACAAGTACATTGTTAATGAAAACTCAAAAAAGAACTAGACTTTTCTGCCATGTCACGCATGAATTATTATATACCAATTGACAATCCTAGATCGAATTGAAAAGAATTTACTTCAAGCATGCAAGAATCACCTGTAGCCTTTGATGCGATTTTCAGGGCCTTCTTTCTGCAACTCTCACAGCGCATGGGCACCTGTATAACTATCTTTTGCTGCAATACATTAAAACTCAAAATTAAGTTATTTATCTACCTAGCTTGATGAATGCTAAACAATAAACACACATACACAAAAATTATCATTGGTCTCACCTTCATGCTTGATAAAGCGTTGATGCTGCTTCGTACACAAAACTTATAATTAAGACCGTCTTGGGTGGATTATGTGCTTGATTAGAAAGTGTTCGATGGGTTTCATATATATATATATATATATAGTGCGTGGTTGGAATATTAATTAATTTGTTATTTAGTTGGTGGTCCACAATTGGTAAACGTCAACGCGCCAGCCCGCCGTGACAGTAAACCATGTATGTGTAATATATTCAGAGACTCATGCAATCTTACCTACTTGCTAGTTATCAACGTCAACCATGACAAAAAGTAAAAACTTCCACATTTATACATCAATAATAACCAGTTCCTAGGAATTGAACGGAGTTTAAAAATGAGTTTGTCCATTATCTATGACTTAATGAGTTAGTTTTGTCATAATATATGCCTCGAGATATATATATATATATATATATATAAAATTTAGATCCCTCTTTCAATTTCAAGAACAAACAATTAAAGTTCAAAACGCTATATATTTTTAAATTTTCGTTTTAATATTTTTCTCATAAGAAATAAAGGGTAAGAATAGTATTTAAATTAGTAACTTGAGGCTAGATCATATAGGAAGGATAAGGTGTGGTGTGGTTAGAAAGAAAACAAAAATAGCCTTTCAATTATAATTTTTCAAAGCAAATAAAGTTATAAAATTTAAAAAAAATAAAATTCTTCAAAATTCATAACTTGTTAATTTATTAACGAATTTTTTTAAAAATATATTTTACCTATACAATCATGTTGATTTGATACAATATAAAGTAAACTTGTTATTGTCCTAATATAATTTATTATTTTAGTAATGCGCATTTATAAATTTACTAGGTGAATTTGTTAACAATATAATTTTCTACATATTTAATGTACATTGTTAACTTGTTAACATATGAAATATATTTGTTAAAATCTTAACATAACTTGTTAAAAAAACAATAGGTGTTTTGATCATTTTGCTATCAAAACCTATTTTCAATAATTTTTTTGGTCCTCCAGATTATATTGGTCTTGATTTAAAATTAAATCCTTCCGCAAGTCCATTATTGTCTCTTCAGTTTATAATGCGCGCACTCTAGTGGGAAGATCCCTCCACGAGGTCGGATCAATTCATGCTTCTCATTTCAGTTTGGTTTGTGGATTGTGGTGCATGCATACAGTTACTTGTTTTATATTTTATATTTCAAATTAAATATTATTAACATTAATATTAAAATTAATATAATTTGGTCAAAAGGGAAGACCAATAATTTAATGACATGTGGGGACTTATTGCCAGTCCCAAATTAATATAATGTAGTTTTTAGGCTTTCATCATAGCATGGAAAAAGAACAAAATGTCGAAATGATTAGGCAAAATATATTCATTATTGGTCCTTATTACAAATCACCTATAATTAATCACCTTACTAGAGTTAAATAAAGATGGATGATTTATTAATTTTATCCAAAAATGGTATAATTTTTTTGTTTTACTTGTATTCATATGAAAAAAAATAAATTTATATTACATTTGCTCTCATAATTAATGATTCCAAGCAAGTTTGATATTAAAAAAAACTTAATTAATATCATTTATGATAAAGATCATCTATCTATTCAAAAAAATCTTTTTATATAAAAATATCATACTTCTTTGTCTCCAATCATTCGTCAAAAGGAATTCATTGTACTTTTGTAATAAAATGAATTTAATACACTGAATATTGTTTTGAATTAAGCTTTACTAAGTGATCTGATCTTTTATACACATTTATTTTGTCAATATTATAAGTATGCATAAATGTTTCAACCAAAATTAAAATTACATGTAGTTAATATTGTATCATAAGTATAGCAAGGCCATCAAATAATTGAAAAGGTTCAATATCAATGACCTTTGGACCAAAAAAAATATCTATAACCTATTGATGATTAATTGTGTGTGTGTGTGTGTGTGTGTGTGTGTGTGTGTGTGTGTGTTAGCTTTTTAAAATGACATTGTATCCAAATCCTTTTAGCAAAAAAAAAAAATCCAGCTCTAATAATTTCTTTCAAATTGATCGAAGATGTGTTTTTTCTAAATATTATTTCTAGATAATAATATTAATTATCAATTTATCTAATATTTTTTTGGATAATCTCGATGTAAAATTTAAATTTTTTTCACCGCCAACAGATTTTATTCGAGCTTACTATTTTTTTTGGGGACAAATATCCAGCTTAGTATTGATATATAGCACAATGACAGGTTTTACGTCACACATTACTGATGATTCGGCATGTGTGTTTAGAATATGAATATCTAGCATGATAGAGGTCAGAGGTGCGATTTAGACGAAGAAGTATAAATAAACGGATCAAGATATAAGTTATATGGTGAAATAAAATATAACACAGTAAGATAATAAATCAAGTTAAAAATATCATTACATACACCCATATATTGTCACACGTGAATTACAAACTTCAATGATATGTAAGTGCAGCAAATACCGAACTTAAAAATGAAGCGCACACATTACGTACACACGAGTTCACTGCGATAGCCCAAAACAAAAACATTATTTGTAGGTTCTAGAAATTCAGCGAACAACAATCCATGAAATGTACTCAGTGCCGATCGACATTTATTTGGGTTCATGCATGTTCTTCTGACGCTCCAGAAATCTGACAACAGAAGCCGTGAATTAACTATATTTATATAAATAAATAAATTGAAAGTAAAAAAAAAACTTGATGTCAATACTTAATAATGTTTGAAGATATTAAAAAAAATATTTGGAAGCATGATGTTTGGACTATATGTAAGTTTCTTCAAACTGAGATAGACCCAAACAAAGCAAGAAGCATAAAATGGATATTATTTTGACTCCGACCCATTCCCTTTTCTCTCTCCATCTTTTTTACTTTAAAGACACACACATCACATACTTTACAGTTTATAAATTGAGAATTTATTAGCAATTGTAATATGATCACTTTAACAACCACGCGATTATAAAAATACAACAGCAATATTAATTGAGACAATCAGATTCCACAACTCACTTTCAATGTCTCAATTTTCTGTGTGTGTGGGTGTTAACTTAGTTAAACAAAAAGAATGAATAATTAAAACTATATACTACCATACCAAGAAAATTAAAAAGAAACTAAAAATGTATTAAAGGGTAACGCAAGAGGATGAGCATGCACTTACCAGTTGACACAACACATCAAGGATAAATACAAAGATTGTGGCCATCATCCATGGAATAAGTCACCGATGACAAGTGGCTGAATTTGTAATAACCTTCTTGTTGCATATTTGTCACAAAGTCTCTAGACATATCTTCAAGATGAAGAAATTTGAGAGATCTTAGGTTTGGAATATCACTGGGCACCTTTTCGATCTGATGGCAAGACCCAAGTTGTAGATGTTCCAGCGAAGACATTGCTGCCGACTCTATTCTTAACCTCCTAAGCCTCTGCATGCCACGTAATTCCAAAACCTTAAGCTTCTTAAACCATCCACTTTTGAAGTGTAACTCCTCGCCATCGTATGCTGATTTCAATAACTGAAGATCCACCAAATCTGTTAAGTCCTTGAGAGCAAGCATTGGGTCTTCTTCTATTCCTGACCAAGCCAGTCGGAGCTTCACTAGCCGGCCAAGTCTGGCAATCCAATTTGGTAATTTCTCTAAGCGGCCAACCAAGTAAAGACGTTTCAAGTCCTCAGGAGGGTTGTTTATGGAATGCAAACTAAGAACTTCACTGATCCCACCGGCATATGGTGCTGCAATACTTAATGAGCAAAGAAGCTGCATATTCTCTATTGCAGTACATAGCGGTCTCCCGTGTTGCCTCCTTATGTTAATAATGCCCAGCCTCCTCATTTCCTTCATGTGAATCAATTCCTCGATGACACCATCCTCATCATTAGATGCATCAACTTTTGCTAGCTTCTGCAGAGCCTTTAAACTCTTGATGCCTTTCTTTAGTATTACTCCATGAGAAGATGAATATGCTATGAGATGACGCAACTTGACAAGCTGGTAAATATGTGGTGGCAGCTCTGTTACTAGAGTATGCTTTAGGTTCAGAATCTCTAGATTAAGAAGCTTACAAATAAACTTAGGAATGGCTGTGATCCGCGTGTTCCTTAGATTCAGATACTTTAGATGCAGCAAAGTCCCGACGGCTTTGGGAAGATGATCGAGAGGAGCATCTTCAAAGTCCAGGGTTTTCAAGAACTTGAAGCTGGATAGAAATGATTGCACCAGAGGCTTTTGCAACTCTTGTAAGTTAAAACAAAAGCAAGACCTCACTCTCTTGTGTTTTGCAGCCCTTGTAATATCATCATGAATGCTATTTGTGAGGATCGACAGGCGCCTGGTCCATGGATGAAACTGAAACTGCTCACTTTTTATGACTTGTCCAAAGTCCAGATCCTCACACTTCTTGAGAAGAAATTCGTGCATTAAATCATGGATGTGACATCTTCGAACTCTGCCATCAGGATCCCTTGCCGATACTTTAACCAAGCTCCGATTAATTAGTTCACACAAGTAACTTTCCGCTACTTCCTCAGTCCTTACTCGATCACCATCATCATGATTTAGGCAACCCTCTTCTGTCCACAAATTGATGAGTCGAGTGGAACTAATGGCATAACCTTCCGGAAAAAGACCAAAGTACAAGAGGCATGACTTGAGGTGGTGATCAAGATCGTCGTAACTCTCTGATAACACTTGGAAATAACTTCTTAAATGGGGATTATTTCTGAATTTTGAGTTTAGACTCCGGCGTACCTTTTCCCATTCTGAGACATCTTCCTTTTTAGTTGATAAGAGACTCGCGAGAGCTACAATTGCTAATGGCACTCCATTACACTTGCTCACGAAATCTTCAGACAATTTTTTCAGCTCTTGATCGTCACAACCTTTAGAATCAAAGACCTCACTGTAAAAGAGCTTTAAAGCAACTTTTGGATCTAAGGGTTTTAGCTCATGAGTGTAACGGTCAGCCCTGCGAACTCTGCAATTATCTGCAATGTCTTTATTTCTTGCGGTAATTATTATCCTGCTGTCTTTGCCTTTATCTGCCTCTGGTAATGCATTAAGAAAATTTCCCCAAAAGTTGATGTCCCGTACATCATCAAAAACAATCATATACTTCTTTGTTTGCAAGTATTGTTTAAGTTTCTCAGTCAAATCATGTTGTTCCATGTCGTCTTCAATTTTCATGGTAGCATTTTTGTCGAAGTCACGGATCATAGTTCTTAATAGTCTTTTGGCTTCGAGTGAACGAGAGACAGTGATCCAAGCGTAACAGTCAAAATATCTTTCGTCTTTTTGCTTCTTATACAAGTTATTCACAATCGCGGTTTTTCCTGGCAGGAAAAAAGGAATTAGTTTATATATATATATATATATATGTATGTGGAAATGTGTCTTGATAGAAATATAAGTTTGTAGTTTGTCATTCTTACCTAATCCCCCTTCGCCGACCACTGAAATTACTGCTGTGCGTCCATTTTGTTCTCTTAGCCAACCCATGAGCATTTCCCTAGTCTCGTCAACACCCACAAGTTCAGCTTCATCCATGAACCGAGCACTCTTTCGAAGGCCATGTCCGGCAGTTGCAGACATCTCTGCTCTCCGTCCTGACGATGACGTGTCTAATCCGAAAGAATCTTTTAATTTATCGAGTCTTTCTCGTGTTTTTTTGATGTCCCGAATCTCCGATTGTATCTTAAGACGGACTTTGACAGTTTTGAGAACGTTACCAGTTTTAGCAACAAAGCGAACAAGTCGTTGCTTTTGGCCATGCTTTTTCACTTTCAACAAGAATTCATCGATCACATCTTCCATGCGAAAAGCAACTTCTCTCACTTGCTTCACCCACTCTTTTAATTCATCTTTTCTGCCTGCCTCCAGTGCCTCGTCGTTGGCGCTTTTTAGGTAGCTTTTAATGTACTTTAGATCACCTACGGTATCAGTGATTTCTGCACCACCATGATCCATCATAAACATTACGGAGCGGCTGAGTAGTGAGATAAGCCTCTCAATTACAAGTACTGCTACTGTTTCCGACATCTTTATGCATACCAAATTGGAATACAGCACCTAAAAATTCACCTGATGAATTCAAGTGTAGAGTAAAATAAGTATGTAAGACTATTTGCTAAAATAATCTTCTGCGTAACCAAATCAATTTTATTAGTGAGAGATTGTTGTAAAGTCTTGATTCATTGCATTCAAAGCAATCATCAAGTCTGTCCAAGGTATCAAAAAACTTTGAAAAGAATAAGATGAAAGTTAATTACTTTATCTATATGAAGAAGCACAGATAATCACAAAATAACAAATTTTATAAGAAAGGAAATAAAAATTACTCTATTTTTATTAAAAAAAAATATTCAGCCTTGCTAGAAACTTTCTTATGTTGCTATCATTTTAGCAAGGGAAATTTACGCTGAACAACCAATTTCAAAAATTAATTATGTAAAAAGGCATTGAATTATATTTTTCCGATTTTTTTAAGGAAGTAAAGAAAGAAAAAAAGATAATTAGAAAGGAAACAATATTTATTGGTGACAGTTCCATTATTTAGCAATCAATTCTATGTAGTTAACACATCATGATACATTTTATAAAGTTTCTTTTTCCAGAACATTTACAAGTCCAAGAAAGACTTGTCTTCTAATTGTTTTTTTTTTAATTAAGAAAAACGTGTCATGAGTTGTTAAACACTTGAATTTATTGCTAAATATGGAAGTATGAAGGTTAACTTTAATTTGTTTGATTTATAAATATTTTTGGAAAAAAAACATATAGAATTTTATTCCATAACCACCAAAAAGTTACAAGAAAAGTTCACCACAATAATAGAGGACTATTTTTTAAAGATGTTAATAGTTATAGACCTAAATGCATATACTTTTAAATCTACTTATGATTTAATTAAGAACTATAATTTATAATATTGTTTATTTATAGTGATGTTGTGTTATTTTATCAATAACTAGACATATTATAAATTTATTTCTCATATATTATATTGTGCATTAAAATTATTTTTATTTAATTATTATATCACCGGTTCAATCATCAAGTTTATTTATATTAGGATCGTTCATCTCAGAAAGGTAATTTGCGGGTATGGCTCATGATCAGAAAAAAAATTAAATTAAAGCGTCGTGATCTTGTTGCATCGATCGAAATAATATAACCAAAGGGGAAATAAAAAATGATGAAAAGAGTGATTTTTTTGTGACAAGTAGGTTTTCATTTTCCACCAAAATCTGCATGGAGGGACTAAACAGGAACACAATAATGTCCAAGAAAACCAGAGAGGCTTCATAAAATCAATTAAAGAGAAATAATGAACAGTGTGTTAGTGGAGCTATTACCTCAACACTGGCCATTTTAAAAGCAAAAAGGAGAAAGTGATAATTGAGCAGAAAGAAAAGAGAGTTACCAAAGGGTTCCTAGCTCAGTGGTGATTGAGGCTGAGCTTGGTAGGGCGGATTACAATTCGATCTCCCGCAGGACCAATTGGGAGGGGGCTGAAACCTAACCACCCAGAACTGTTTCCCCGAATCTGGATTAGTCAGCCGAAGGGTCGGATACCAGGTGAGTAATTCAAAAAGAAACAAAAAAAGAAAAGAGAGTTTGTGGGTGACGTGTGCGTGAAGAAGGCAGAGGGAAATCAATTGTGAGTTGTGTTGTGTGAGTGGAGATGATCAGAGTGAGAGAGGTATCTATAGAGGCGTTTAGGCTTTTTTTTTTTTTTTTTTGGGCTTGGGAGTGAAGAATTAATATAATTGAGTAATGCCTTTTAGAGAGAGAGAGTTGCCACTTGGAAGAATCTTTTTCAAGCAGACACCTCACATCACTGACACAAATTCAAAGAATTCGGCTTGACGTCCAGCTGTAAATGTCCTTGCAGTTGTAAATCTACTTATGATTTAATTAAGATTCATATATTAATAAGTTATAGAACTATAATTTATAATATTATTTATTTATAGTAATGTTGTGTTATTTTATCACATATTAAAAATTTATTTTTCATATATTATATTATACATTTAAAATTATTTTTATTTAATTATTATATTATCAGTTCAATCATCAAATTTGTTTATATTGAGATGTTCATCTCAGAAAGGTAATTTGCAGGTATGGCTCATGATCAGAAAAAAAATTAAATTAAAGCGTCGTGATCTTGTTGCATCGATCGAAATAATATAACCAAAGGGGAAATAAAAAATGATGAAAGACTGATTTTTTTGTGACAGTTAGGTTTTCATTTTCCACCAAAATCTGCATGGAGGGACTAAACAGGAACACAATAATGTCCAAGAAAACCAGAGAGGCTTCATAAAATCAATTAAAGAGAAATAATGAACAGTGTGTTATTTGAGCTATTACCTCAACACTGGCCATTTTGAAAGCAAGAAGGAGAAAGTGATAACTGAGCAGAAAGAAAAGAGATTTACCAAAGAGTTCCTAGCTCAGTGGTGATTGGGGCTGAGCTTGGTAGGGCGGACTACAATTCAATCTCCCGCAGGGCCAATTGGGAGGGGGCTGAAACCTAACCATCCAGAATTGTTTCCCTGAATCCGGATTAGTCAGCCTGAAGGGTCGTATACCAGGTGAATAATTCAAAACAAAAAAAAAAAGAAAAAGAAAAGAGTTTGTGAGTGACGTGTGCGTGACGAAGGCAGAGAGAAATCAATTGTGAGTTGTGTTGTGTGAGTGGAGATGACCAGAGTGAGAGAGGTATGTAGAGAGGCGTTTGGGCTTGGGAGTGAAGAATTAGTATAATTGAGTAACGCCTTTTAGAGAGAGAGTTGCCGCTTGGAAGAATCTTTTTCAAGCAGACACCTCACATCACTGACACAAATTCCAAGAATTCGGCTTGATGTCCAGCTGTATATGTCCTTGTAATTGTATATTCCGTGGCGCAAACATGGACTTGCGATACATTCATTCTAATTCCTCCCAACCCCATCATATAAATCTACTTATGATTTAATTTAGGTCTATATAGCATATATTGATAAGTTATAGAATTATAATTTATAATATTATTTATTTATAGTGATGTTGTATTATTTTATCAATAACTAGACACATTATAAATTTATTTCTCATCTAGCATATTATGCCTTTAAAATTATTTTTATTTAATTATTACATCATCAGTTCAATCATCAATTTAATTAGCTAAATTATGTTGACTTTTTTATTTTAATATTCAGTCTTAATTTTAAAATAATGTTATCTACCCTCCCTTCTAATTTGGTATTTCGGGGGATGGGAGTTTTTTTATTTTAAACATTGCAAACTACTCTTGATATTAAAAAATTGTACATTATCTTCCTCTCTCTCTTCAAATAAAAATAAATTTTATTACCTTATGGAATTCAATATATAATTTTTAGTGTGAAATATATCAACATCACCTCTATTTTATACTTTAATTATATAGACCTTCACTTTATTTTTAAAACCTGTATAAACCTCTGTGGAAATTAAAATTTACATAAGCCATATCTCTTCTCTATTTTAAATGTTGTTAAAGAGTTATTAAATATAGGAAAATTTAACTTATTGTAACTTGATACTCATATAATTTTAACTTTATTGTAATTTAATATTTAAATTTTAACTCTTATAATTTAATCCTTTAAATCAATAAATATAGACGGATCGATACAATGGTGATATAAAATCTAACCCAATATGATAAATCAGGTTCCAAATACCATAATCATAAACAAAATCGAATATAATCAGTAAAATTAATTAAAGTGCGTAGGCGAAGACCAAGCCTTTCCACTCAAAATGAAAAAGAAAAAGAAAATAACCAAAAAAGAAAAAAGACCAAGACTTTTAGGCGGACAGGGTCACGTGGCTATCCTCCCTCTCTCTCTCAAATTTAATATTTGTCCATGCATTTAAATTTATTTGCCCACCACTTGTGTTATGGTATTGCATGGAGCCGGAAAACTAGTTCAGTTCACGGCCTAATCTGTTTAACTTTTAAAATTTAATAAATTAGATTAAATAAATTAGCTTATTTTTTTTAAATAGATTGGGCTAATTCAACCTCAAATTAGCTAGCTATAACGGACTAATCTGCTAGCTAACATATTTTTTAAAAAAATATTTTTAATTTTTTAATCATATTATTTTTTTATAAATCTACAATAGTAATAATATTTTTTAAATATATAATTTGTGACTCCCAAATATATTCTTTATATTTAAAAGATAATGTAAATCTTTCTTATAACTTACGCATGAAATTTTGTTATAGTTTGTAAATTAATGATCTATTAGTTTTCATAAAAATACTTTGAATATATATTATTTATTAATCTCATAATATTTATTGATTAAAATTATAAATGTGAATTCATTGATAAAAATACTATGGATTTATATTCAAATTTTTTTTTTCAGTAAGAAAGATAATACACCTAAGTGAGAAGATGATTAGCAGTAAAAATTTAGCAAAATGAATTTGATTAATTAAATTTTATATTTATTTTATTTATGTATAAATTTTTTAATTGCTAATTTTCCTTAAAATGTAAAATAAATAAATAAATATATATTATATGAATTTTAAATTGTTAAAAAAATTCTGATAAATTTTTGAGCGCCAGCCCTCCAAAAAATGAGATTGGGTTGGATTGAATTTTTTACCCTATTTTATTTGACAAACTGACCTAATCCAATTTATAAAAATGACAATTCGGATGGACTAACTTACGAGTTGACTTATAGCTCGTTTGCTTAGTATTGCAAATCCATATATGGAGTCTTTGCGTCGGACTTTTACTGATGATAATTATCAGTGTGTTTAAAATATTTGGCAAGCACATGTGTGGTCAAATCAAGCTGCAATTTAGATAAAAAAAAATAGACGAATCGATACTATGGTGATATAAAATCTAACCCAATATGATAAATCAGGTTCGAAACACCATTACAAACATGATCAAATCAGGGGCCACATGTAAAAATTAGGGTAAAACATAACCTGCTCCCAAAATTTCACTCAATAATTTACAATTTAATTCTTCTACTTTACTTGGTACATTAATCCAGTCTTTATGGTTTCAAAAATGTCAAATTAGTAAATGGTTCGTACTTGAATAGTTGGAATATTTATTTGTTGTTTATTTAGTCCACAATTGGTAAACGTCGTGCCCACCTGTCAAGTATACGTGAATTATATATTTCTTCTATTTAAAAATATAAGACAGTTTTTTTATAAAAAAATATAAAATATTAAAAAAAAAGATGTTAAAAAATATAATATATATGGGACAGGACTATTCTTTGATTCAAGTTTCCTTTGGATGGCATGTACATGAATCCAATTTTTTCCACACACTGTTTGATATGTTTTCCACACATATTTCCACACGCTCTTTCTAATTGAATATGTGTTATTTTTAAAAAATATTATTTCAGTTAATGGTATTAATTATCAATTTATCTGATAATTCTTTTGGATAATCTTGATGTAAAATTTAAATTATATATACACGGGGATGCCAAGAACTAGATGACTATCAAAACGAAACAAGCAAATTGAATTTTAATTATCGACGTAAGAGTGAAAGCCACATATGTTATAGTAAAATTTCCAAGTCGGCGGTACTGAAATTTGAAAAGGTAACAACTAGCAGTACGGAGAACGTTTAATTAGAAAGAAATTGACTTTATGAATAAGAAATGAACAATAAATTGTGTTTGAAATAAAAAGGTCCAACTCTACTCATCGTATACTGTGTGGACTGTGGAGGGACGAGGGCCAGCAAGATCTGGCAACTTATTTGATTATAATTGATAAAATATTATACACTCTTTCTTTTTTTTGTCAATCTTTACGTGTGATTTGTGTTCTCCGACGCTAAAATCAGTAGGATATGGGATTAGTTTTCGCACACATCAAGTTTGCAGAGAATTTGACAGCAAAATGAACACTTGGAATCCATTAAAAAATCCCACCAATGATCTATCAGAAGCCCATGTGAACAACGAGAAGGCTTTGATTAGGCCATGTTTGACTTAGGTTTCTGTTTTTTTAAAAAAAAAAAAATTAAATAACTTGTTTAAGTAAGTGTTTTGATTCAAATTTTTTTAAAACTGTTCTCAATTTTTTTTATTTTCTCAGGGTTGTTTTTGTTTACTTTCTTTGGTTTTAAAATCACACCATATTTAATTATTATAAATTATCTTTGACCATAATTAACCACTACCATAGACAACTGCTATTAATCATTTGCAAACACCAATACCAGCCAATTTTTTAATTTTAAAATTTATATAATTAAACATATTTCATTTTATTTTATTTAAAAATTTAAATTTAAAATTTATTTACAAAATAATTCTTAAAACAAAAAATAGAACAAAACCAAACAAGTTCTTAGACACACCCTCTCGACAATATTTTTACTCAATATTACGGGGAACGATTTCACCGTTCGCGATAAATTTTTTATCACTCTGATCAAGAATTTCCCCCCTAAAAAGTTACGCTTATGTGTACTAAAAAATAATAATTAACAAACGGACTTGTTCGACGAAAATTATACAAAAAAGAATAACTATTATTATTAAGTGAGATACTGCTATTAGTGGGGGAAATGAGAAGAATATCTCTTGTTGGGACGTTTAAGATTTCGGGCCAGGCCCATTGGACTCAGATATTTAAACGCCCACTGATGATAGAGTTGTCGTCCTAGTATCTTCTTTCTTGCTATGTTATATTTTCTTTAATTATTATGAGAAAGTAACTTCATGTTGTTTAATTAGTCTGGGATGGATTGGCCAAAGAAATTAAAGAGATTAAACTTAATTTTGTCCTCAAACTTCTCATGGAGAGTCTGCAAATCTTCTAAACTCAATTTAAAGTCATTTTTATTCTTAAATTGCTAAAATTTAATACATCATTGTCTTGTCATTCGCGTACTGCTTGTTGATTGTTAACTGCTCAGGTGGATATATTTTGTTGACTCCTTTTTTAGTCACGTGGCATCCAAGTGGATGCATTTCAAGATGATCCTTGTTAGGTTTTTTAAATCTCAAGGAGAAAATGATCATAAAAATCAAGTTTAAAACATTAGGTACTTTTAAGTAAATACTTTAAGAACAAAAGTGACCATGTTAAATTCTAGTTGGGCATCCATTTGAATGCCATGTGACTTAAAAAAAGTCAATAAGACTCAACCAACTTAATAAATAATTGTCAACAAACAATACATGAATGATAAGATAATGAAGAACTGAATTTTAAAAATTCAACAGCAAAAATAACCCAAAATCAAATGTAGGATGCCGGCCCATAGACCACGTGTGACATGTTTGAGAATAAAAATGGCCCTTGATCCAAATTGAAAATTAATTGGGATGTTGACATTGACATTAGTACACAAACCAAACACGACTTACCTACAAGCATCCACATTAAATTGCCTGGCACCGTATTTCTTCGTCCGCAGTCCGCACATCGGGCTTTTTTGTAACCCCCCGGAATTAAACTCCTAAATTAGAAGTCTTCGTCCTTTTATTAGTCAATCTCAAAGTCTACGTTAACATTTTCAATCAGACCAAAAAAAATTAACAATTTCAACGCATCTAAACATCAATTGTCGAATATATGTGTGTATATTTATTTTATTTTATTTTCAGCTTTGTTTATTTTATTAAGTAAATCATGCA